CTTTATTTTAATATAAAAATAAAAATTATTTCTTATTAAAATCATAAATTTTTATATAGAGAGAAAATTTTAATTTTCACTATATTTTATTAGTAAATTTAGTCCCTGAGTCATTACTTTTGGTCACCACTGTATATATTATTTAAATAATTATTTAATTTATTATAATTAAAAAATTAAAGATTTTTTTATATATTATTATATATAAATTATTGCTAATTATAAAATTTTATAAAAATTTTTTTCTTATTTTATATATTTTGTATTTACATGTTGATCTTGCGATTTGATTGGTTAAGGAGGATATTGTCAGAACATCACGAAATTTGCAATAATCGACATGATTGTGTAACAGTCAGCGTAGCTTATTGGCTCAAAGATTTCGGATTGCTGCGTTCTATAATAAAAAATAACCAATTAGTAATAAGTAATAATATTTCAAACATTAGACATTTGATTTCTACTACTATTATTTTTTTCATCCATTGCTGCTGCTTCTCTGCGCGCTTTGGAGGCTTTTAATAAATCTTTTTTTTTTACTCCAAGGAAATCTTTTCGTTATTGTCTTGTCTAGCTAATTTAGTTCAACATTGCCCGACATGAATGGGTACTTGTTTGCGTACTCTTCCGCGCCGCTGCGACGAGTGAAATATGTTCAGTTTGGAGTGCTGTCTCCGGATGAAATCGTATCCTTCTTGTTGCCTCTCACTAAAGAAAGGCATTGAGTGAAAGTGTTTTTGGTTGAGTTCGCTAGTTGTTTGTGTTAGATGTTTCGAGTTTGAAAGAGTAGTTTTGGTAAATTGAGATCTTTGTGGTGGTAAGCAAAACATCAGATTTACTGTGGTAGTCTTTGCCTTATGGGGAGATGATAGATATTAGCAGGCGATCTAAGTCAAGCATACACGAACAAATAATAGATTAGCTAAACTTTATTAAAAAAGACGAAACATAGGCATCCTTGACTTTTGCTTGCTGCCCTTGTTTTTCCCACAAACTAGAAAAACATGTCGGTTGCTTTGATCGAACACCCAGAAACGATGGATGAGAGTGGCCACAAGCCAAAAATCGGCGGTTTACTCGATCCTCGTATGGGAACTATCGATCGAAATTTCAAGTGCCAAACTTGCGGTGAAGGGATGGCCGAATGCCCAGGCCATTTTGGTCATATTGAATTAGCAAAGCCCGTCTTTCATGTTGGTACTGTATTTCTTCTACTAAATCTTTCATTATACAGATATTGAATGTTTGCTATTAACATTTATTATAATAGTTGTTGATAATAATGATATTAATGATAATAACAGTGATATTAATAATGATAATAATAATAATAATGATAATAATAATAATAATGATAATAATAATAATAGTTATTTGCCGTCAACTTGTGACTTGCACTACGCACTTGTTCTCGGCTTTACATATTTGATATTGATGCGCTCGATTATCATATAAACATTTAAAAATGAATCGAATTGCTAATACTTTTTTTGATTGCTACTTTTCACATATTCAATTAATCATCGTATACCGTCGTCTAATTATTTGAATGATTGCACTTAAAAACGTTTTACTATACATTTACACAGGTTTTCTTCCTAAAGTGAAGAAGATTTTGGAGTGCATCTGCGTTCATTGCTCAAAGCTCAAAACAGATGACGTGAGTTTTCCTTTACGTTTTGTGAAATCAAAAGCGAAATTTTTTTTGATTTTGTTATTGTTTGGTTCAAGTTTCAAATCTCAAAAACTTTATGTACATCTCTATCATCATCATCATCATCATCATCATCATCATCATCATCATCATCATCACCATCATCATTATCATTATCCTCCTCCTCCTCCTCCTCCTCCTCCTCATCATCATCATCATCGTCATCATCATCATCATTATTATTATTATTATTACCTCACACAAAAAATAAAAACTCATTTCAATACTTTCAATACGAACGAAACGACTATTTCTCATGAGTGATTTTCATTTTTATTATACAATCATTATATTATTTTTGAATTACAGTCAAACTCAAAGTTTGTCCAAGCTCGCAGGATTCGTGATCCCAAGCGTCGTCTTCGTGCAATATGGGAGATATGCAAGGGAAAGATGAGCTGCGAACAGAATGAAGATACCGAGAATGATAATGAAGATAACAAAATAATGTCTGAATTCTCGGACGTAGTTAGAAGCGAGCAAATGCAACGACAACAAATCGACGCGAGTTTAGGTTTGAACAGAAGAAAAGCACATGGCGGATGTGGGGGAAAACAACCGACTATCCGGAGAGATGGTCTGAAGTTGATTGCTAATTATAAAAGCACGAGCGGAAAGGATAATGACGTAAGCTATGACGACAAATTCAAGAACATCTTACAAACATTCTGATTGTATCAGTAAATTAATAATGCCTGGCTAAACAACATATATATTTTAGGCTGGCCAAGATATAACACCAGAGAAAAAAGCTCTTACGCCACTTGATGTCTACAATATATTTAAAAATATCAGTGAACAAGATCTCCTTGATATGGGGCTGAGTGTTGAATTCGCTCGACCTGATTGGATGATTATAACGGTGCTTCCGGTACCGCCTCCGCCAGTTCGTCCTAGTATTCAAATGGACGGAACTAGTCGTGGTGAAGACGATTTAACACACAAGCTATCCGATATTCTCAAAGCTAATCAGAATTTGCGAAGGTGTGAATCAGAAGGTCAACCGAAACACGTCATCGACGAGTTCGAATCTTTATTGCAGGTAAGTTTTGTGTATTGAATAACAAATGTAATCTGAATAGTTAGATATTGGATGCTTACGGATTTATTGCTTTTATAGTTTCATTGTGCTACATATATGGATAATGATATGGCAGGTCAGCCTCAAGCTTTACAAAAATCAGGAAGACCACTAAAATCCATTCGTGCAAGGTTAAAGGGGAAAGAAGGTCGTCTCCGAGGTAATTTGATGGGAAAACGTGTAGATTTCTCAGCACGTACCGTTATTACAGGTGACCCGAATATATCGGTTGACGAAGTTGGTGTGCCGCGAAGTATTGCGCGAAACTTGACGTTTCCGGAATTGGTCACACCTTATAATATTGAACATTTACAAGAACTTGTACGCAATGGACCGAATGAACATCCCGGTGCCAAATACGTTATAAGAGATACAGGCGAGCGCATTGATCTAAAACATAATAAGCGGGCAGGAGAAGTACGTTTGCAATTAGGATGGAAAGTAGAGAGACACTTGAACGACGGGGACGTCGTCATATTCAATCGTCAACCGTCATTACACAAAATGTCAATGATGGGTCATAAAGTTCGCGTGATGCCATTCTCCACTTTCCGTCTTAATCTTTCAGTCACAAGTCCTTACAATGCTGATTTTGACGGAGATGAAATGAATATGCATGTGCCTCAATCTGTAGAAACAAAAGCTGAGGTTCAGGAAATTTGCATGGTTCCAAAACAAATCGTATCACCACAATCCAATAAACCCGTAATGGGAATCGTACAGGACACTTTATGTGCCATTCGAAAATTTACAAAACGTGATTGTTTCCTATCGAAAGATTTAGTAATGAACATTTTAATGTGGGTACCCGATTGGGATGGACGTATCCCGCGTCCTTGCATACTGAAACCTGTCCCGATGTGGACGGGCAAACAAATTCTCAGTATGATTATTCCAAAGGGTATTAATTGTCACGGTTTTCACGCCGGACATCCTGAAAAAGAACCGCCAGGCAATTCACCTGGTGATACTCAGGTATTGATTGAAGATGGACAAGTGCTTTGTGGTATTATATGTAAGAAGACGGTTGGCACTTCGCCTCAGGGTCTTATTCATGTCATTATGAATGAATTGGGTCCGGAGTCAGCAAAGAAATTTTTGAACGGTTGTCAAACAATAGTCAATTACTGGTTATTGCAACACGGTTTCAGTATTGGTATTGGTGATACGATTGCCGACAAAGATACAATGGAGACGATTACTTCCACAATCGGAGCAGCAAAATCACGCGTGCAGGATATCATATTAAAGGCACAACAAGATAATCTGAAATGTGAGCCAGGAATGACAATTCGAGAATCTTTTGAACATCACGTCAACAAAGAACTCAATACTGCACGTGACTCTGCTGGACGTAGCGCAGAGAAAAGTTTAAAAGAAGATAATAATGTAAAACAGATGGTGGTTGCCGGTTCTAAAGGGTCATTTATTAATATCTCGCAGATGACTGCTTGTGTGGGTCAGCAGAACGTCGAGGGTAAACGTATCCCGTTTGGTTTCAAATTCCGTACTTTGCCACACTTTACCAAAGATGATCATAGCCCTGAGAGTCGTGGGTTTGTTGAAAACTCTTATTTGAGAGGATTGACTCCAACAGAATTTTTCTTTCACGCTATGGGTGGTCGAGAAGGTAAATTGTCTCTTTGTCTGAATATTTGTATAAAATGGATAGGATTAAAGAGTAAATGAATTCTAAATAAATTTATTGTTTATTAGGTTTAATTGATACTGCTGTCAAAACAGCAGAAACTGGTTATATTCAGCGTCGATTAGTTAAGGCGTTAGAAGATGTAATGGTTAAATACGATGGAACCGTACGTAATTCACTAGGTGATGTTATTCAATTTTGCTATGGAGAAGATGGCATGGACGGATGTTTTGTTGAGAAACAAAGTCTTGATTCTTTGAATCTAAATGATGCTGAGTTCGAGAGGAAATATCTCGTCGACTTGACAAATTCCGCCTATACATTCACTCCTGGCTCGCTGGCTCCTAAACTCGAGAACCTTCTACAACAAGAAAGCGAGGCACGAACTTTACAAAACTTCTTCCAAAAGGAATGGATTCAATTACAAGAAGATCGAAAAATGTTGCGTGATTTCATCTTCCCTCATGGCGACAATAAATGGCCATTACCGGTGAACATCAAACGTCTCATAAAAAATGCTCAGCAAATGTTCAGCTATGATATTAAGGAGGGAAGCGATCTACATCCGATTATCATGTTGAATAGCATGCAAGGACTACTTGATCAGTTGCGCGTTGTTAATGGTGACGATAAGATCAGTCATGAGGCGCAGTTCAATTCAACATTGTTGTTCAAAATTCTATTACGCTCTGTTCTTTCATGTCGTCGCGTGATTGAAGAATATCATCTTAATTCGAAGGCGTTCAAATGGTTGGTCGGTGAAATTCAACACAGATTCCAAAATTCATTGGTTGCGCCTGGTGAAATGGTTGGCACTATTGCCGCCCAATCAATTGGTGAACCAGCCACTCAAATGACTCTAAACACTTTCCATTACGCCGGTGTATCAAGTAAAAATGTAACACTTGGTGTACCACGTTTAAAGGAAATTATTAACGTAGCAAAGAACATTAAAACACCATCCATTCACGTATATCTCAATGGAAAATACGCAAAAGATATGGAACTCGCAAAAGAAATTCAAAGTGCTATCGAATACACGACACTCAGAACAGTCACACAATGCACAGAAATTTGGTATGACCCTGATATTCATACGTCGATAATCGAAGAAGACCGAGATTTCGTGGAGCTTTTTTATCAGATGGAAGGTGACGACACAGCTGCAAATAATCATACACAATCGCCGTGGGTTCTTCGATTCGAACTTGGTCATAATGTAATGCTTGACAAAAAACTTCCTATGGACACAGTTGGCAATAAAATTCAAGACCATTTTCGACGTGATATTCACGCAATATGGAATGACGATAATTGCGAAAAGAAAATTATTCGGTGTCGTATTCTCAATGAAATGTCCAAAGATAGTGTTGATGAAGAAGGCATTCAATCCACTACTGAGGAAGACGTATTTCTTAAACGGCTCGAGAATAATATGCTTGGCACTATTGGTCTTCGTGGTATTAAAGGCATAAATCGCGTGTATTTGATCCAAACGAAAAAAACTCAAATATTTGTGAATCAACAAGGACAAATCGTCAAAGAGGATGAATGGACACTCGAAACTGATGGTACTAATCTACAACAGGTGTTGTGTGTTGAACATGTAGATCATAAACGCACCTATTCGAACAATTGTGTTGAAATTATGCAAGTTTTAGGAATTGAAGCTACTCGTGCAGCTCTCTTGAAGGAGCTTCGAGGGGTTATTGAATTTGATGGTTCATACGTTAATTATCGTCATTTAGCACTTTTGTGTGACGTGATGACTTCTCGAGGCCATTTAATGGCTATCACTCGTCACGGAATAAATCGTGCAGAAACTGGTGCTTTAATGAGGTGTTCATTCGAAGAGACTGTGGAAATTTTAATGGATGCCGCGGCCGCTGGTGAGATTGATGATTGCCGAGGTGTCGCTGAAAATATCATGCTAGGACAAGTTGCACCTTTGGGAACCGGTGAATTTGACATTTATCTCGATGATGAGATGCTAAAGACTGTTGCTCCTCCGCCAGATGGACAAAAAGTACCAGAGGTGAATATGGGCATGGATTATCGTCGTTCAGGTGCAATGACCCCAGGACGCATGACTCCCGGAAACATGACACCTTATAAAGCGGGAAGTCAATCGCCCTTCGCACCTGACTCTCCACAGTGGATTGGTAATCTCCGATCAGAAAAATATATAGATTTCTCAAGACCAGGAACACCTGTATTCTCACCAATAGCCGAGGACTCGCGAACCCCGGTAATGACTTCAATGACTGATCCAGGCAGTTCGCATGGATACAGTCCATTCAATAATACTGCATCTAGTCCATTCAATCCCAATGAATATTCGCCAACTTCACCTACATCATTCTCGCCTGCTAGCCCTGCCTACAGTCCTACTAGTCCAAGTTATTCTCCCACGAGTCCCTCTGCATCTTATTCAGGTGCTGCGGGTGGTGCAATTGGTGTCCTAATGAATGGAAGTGGACTGAGTGGCGCTGGTGGTAGTAGTTCTCTTGTACGAGGTGGCATTGGTCGTAATGGCGTGCTTCGTCCTTCTGCTACCACACCATTAAATAATTACGCAGCAACTAGCCCAACTTACTCACCTACAAGTCCCTCATACTCTCCAACATCGCCAAGCTATTCACCCACATCGCCAAGCTATTCACCCACATCGCCAAGCTACTCACCTACGTCACCAAGCTATTCACCCACATCACCAAGTTATTCTCCTACCTCACCGAGTTATTCGCCAACTAGTCCTTCCTATTCTCCAACAAGCCCTTCATACTCGCCTACCTCGCCAAGTTATTCGCCTACAAGTCCATCTTACTCTCCTTCGAGTCCTGCTTATAGTCCTACATCACCACAATATTCACCAACTTCTCCATCCTATTCGTAAGTCACTTTTTGATTGATTGACTGTTTGTTTGATTTATTAATTGTTAATAATAATGTATCTTTTAATGCTTTCGATAATAGACCAACATCACCTACATACAATCCAACATCTCCTTCGTAAAATCAAAGAAAAAAATAGGTTGTATTAAATATTATAATCATACCAATCATATCATAATGTGTTACTCATGTCAAATTATATCAAATACAACTAATATAATAAATACAGTAGAAGTCAAAAGTATCCAATCATCTGTAACTTTTTAAATTAAAGATCAATTATCTTGAGATTTCAGTATAGATAATAAAATATAATCTAAATTATGAGTTTTTTTTTTTGTTTTAATTGCTATAATAAAAATTTAAATAAGGGCTAAATTTTAATAGTTAATTTTTTTATATAAATAAAAATATTAATCAAAATACAATAAAAAAATATATTTAATTTTATAATTAAAAATAATTTTATTTATAATTCTTATAATTATAAAATTAGAGAATTAATTTATTAATAAAATATAAAATTTTCTCTATATTAAAGTTTATAATTTTATTAAAAAATAATTTTTATTTTTATATTAAAATAAAATTTATAAATTATAATTTAATATATATTTTTTTCAGATTTTTTAAATTTTTTCTAAAAGAGTTATTCTAATTATAAAATTATTACAAAATTATTTTTAATTAAAAAAAATTTGTAATAACTTTGCAATTAGAATAATTCTTTTAGAAAATTCTTAATAAAATTATAAATTTAATATAAAGAAAAATTTATTACTTATTTCTAAATAAAATTTTATTTTCAAGATAAATTAGAAAAAATTTATTTATTTTAATTATTAATTATATTAAATTTAATAATATTATTTTTATATTTATATTTTAATATTTTTTATTTTTAAAAATTATTTACAAGATTTTATTAAGAATATTAATAATTAAATATTTTATAAATAAAATTATAATAATAAAAAAATTTGATTTTAAAAATAAATATTTAATTATATTTTTAATATATTAAATATATTATTAAATAAATATTAAAAGAAAGTTTTCTTAATATTTAATTTATAAAAAAGTAAATAAATTTATTTTTGTTAATTCAATTAACTTTTTATAAAAAATAAAATTCTTTGTATTTTAAAAAAATATAAAAAATTAAAAATAAAATAAAAAAATATTTAATATTAGTATTTTGAAAAAAGTTTAATTCAATTTAAGTAAAATTTTATTTAGTCTAAATTAATTTATAATCTAAATTAAATTTAATATTTTATTTTTAATTCAGAATTTTATTTTCAATTTAAAAAATCTGAAAAAATTATTTTAATTTTACTTTATTCTAAATTTTTAAATTAATTTAATAATTTTTTCAAGAAATATTTTTTATTAGAATATAAAAATAAATTTATAAGTAAAATAGATAAATATAAATTATTTTTTATTTTTTTATTTATCTGATATAAAGTGATTTATATATCATAAAAAATTAAATAATAATTTTTTTATATATAAATTTTTTTTAGATTTATTATATTAAAAAAATTTTTAAAATTCATTATCATTATTCATTTTTATCTAATAAAATTATGTTATTAATAATATTTTTTTATCTTTACCAATATTCTTTTTCAATAATATCTTATTAAGAAATTTATACATTTGATAATATATGATATAAATAATAATATAACTTGTTAAAAAAGATTTTTAAAAGATATAAAATATTATTTTTATCTTTTAAATATTTAATAATTTATAAAGAATATTTTTTTATTCACTTTTTCTATAATAATAATCTAATTAATATAATATTTGAAAAAGTTTTTATTTTGAAAGTGTATATTCATATTCATTAAAAAACTTTCATAAAAAAGATATAAAAATTTAATATCTATTTTTATTATTATTCATAACATATATATGTACAAGTAATGTAATATTTTCATCTGATTTTAATTTAAAAAGTTAAAGATTTTAATATAGGATAAAGATATTATTATTATACTTTTAGCAATATTCAAAACCAGAATAACTTGCTTATGTAATGATATATTTTTATTTTATTTATTAATAAGGATAGAATTAGAAAAGTATTAATAAATATTTATCATTATTCATTTTTTATTATTAATTAATAATGTATAATTATATTTTATATAAATAAAAATAGAATTATTTGATATATTACATATATTTTTTATAATATAAAGATTTTTGTAATTCTTTTTAATATACAAATCATTTTGCATCAGATCATATTAATCTTGTAATTTTATTAATTTATCTTATAAAAAATTATATAATTAATACTTATTAATTATTAGATCAATTCAAAATCAAAATCTAATTTGATTTAATTATCTAATTCAAACTGAGATTAAATTAAGTTATTTTCAAGTTCTATTTAAATTTATCTAAAGTTTTAGATTCAAGTTAAATTTAATTCAAGCTTAAATTTAAATTAAACTTGAATTTGAATTCAAACTTGATCTAAAATTCAAATCAAAAATATTTATTAAACTTTAATATAAAGAAAATATTTTACTATATTTATTAATAAAATTGACTTATTTTGTATTTACTTTTAATTACTATTATATATAAATTAAAATATAAATTTTATTTTATGTAAAAATAACAAATATTTATTAATAAATTGATTATATTCTTTTATAAATATATAATTATTTTTCAAGAACAATTTGTTTATAAAGCTATTGATAAATTCTAATTAAAATATTCTGTTTTGTAAAAAATCAAAACTTTTTTTTATTAATAAATTCAAGATTCACAATGTAATTTTTTTAATCTAAAGAATGGATTTGAGATTAAATTAAGTGGCGAAGTTTCTATAAGAACGGGTACTCTAAGTGGTGATATACGATAAAGAATTCGTTATGTTGCGGAAAATAAATTCACACGTTCATTTTATCTTCGACATTCTTGTTGAAGATCATTGGTTTTTTATTAACAGTTATTTGTTTAACTATCTTCTTCCAACTTTATTTTCAACAATAGTTGTCCCTCGCCTTTTGCGTCCTCCTCAAACTCTGTTTCTGTAATTGAGAGATTATTAAGGAATGATATAGCAGTGTGAAGCCTATGTCGGCGTTCTTGTGCCTTTGGAAATTCCTAGATCAAATAAAACGTAATTGTAATTAATAATCAATTTCGTTTGATACTCTTTGATTTCTTCGATCCTTAGTCGTCATCAATTACCTGACCAAGTTTAGGTAGATATATTTCTTTGTATCGTTCACCAAGTAAAGTCTCTAGTACACGACCTATAGTTGACCCAAGATTATTGGGGTACAAGAAATCGGCGATACCCTTCATGTATTCAATACCCAAGTCACGTTTTTCTTCTAGCTTTGGTATGCTTTTTGTCATCTTAATGGTTGATTATATATCAATGATTAATATCTGATTATATAGCAATTTATGTCGATAGATAAATAACAAGTTACCTCGGATAAATCAACATCTATATTTTCAAGATATGAACTATAAATCGCTTCAAATTCACATATATCATCATCTTTTTTATTATCAAGTAGAATAATGAAGGTATTAATTTACTATACTCGGAGAATGCGAGAGTAGTATAAAAATGTAATTGATTGATGATCTTCTTACGGTGGCCTGTGAATATAATCTTGCTTCTCTTTTGTGCGTCCTTGAAAAAATTTAGTTGCTTTTCGTAAGATGCCCAGATATCTTTGTTTTCATTCATATGTATATATATATATTAAATTGGATATCTTGTTATACCATATAATAACGTAGATTAGTTAGAAAAGTCACCATCATCTTGTTGCTGTTCATTTTTTTTGAGAGAATCCAATGAATTCCGAGTTTCTTTATGTTGCGATAATAATTGCTGTCTCTCGTTAATTTGGGTGTCGATTTCTTCGATTTGATTATGTAGGGCTTCTACCTCAGAGAGAATAATGTTGTTGGTTGAGGACTGTTAAATAACATGTATATCTCATTATTGACATGGTTGGTAAAACGACTACTGCACTATTTAATACTACTACCTACCCTTGTGTCAAAGACTTGTTGAGTTATTAATGGCGACGGTAATTTTTGCTCGCCACAATTCCGCCTTTTGTAATCTCGAAGCTCTGATTCCTATTTCATTAGATATTGTATAAAGTCCAATTGTAAATAATCCTGCAACTTTGTCGTCCAATTCACTTTCTTATGATAAACAAATACCGTTTTCTGTATTTGTTCTGTCAAATATTCCAATTTTTTGGACAAATCGATTCGTTGAGCCTTTAACAATTTTAAATTTTGCTGTTGCTTTTTTTGTCGTGACAAAGAAAGTTTTGCGCTATTATTATTGCTATTACTCTGATCTGTGTCCTTCTTGATTTGATTTGTCTTGTTTAGAGTATTGGCAAGTTGTAATGAATCTAGTTCAATCTCTTGTTTGTCTATCTAAAATTAATTGATTGATTAATTAAAATATTTTACTCAAATCTCTAAAGGATGATTTTTTCATAGTGAGGATTATGATATAGTTTTTACAAGACCTCTTCTTGAAGTTCGTGTTCCCTTTGTTCCAGTATCGTTAGTTCTCTTTCGGCCTGTTCGGTCAACGACTGGATTTTAGGAGTAAGTTCTTTTGCCAGATTTTTTTGCGCATCATTGACATCGCTTTCAGTGACAAGTTCATATTTCTGTATAGTTCGTATAGATAATAAGATCATCTTGATACTACTAGTACGCTGCAAATGATTCGATACACGTATTGGTTCGATAAATATATTGACATTAAATATACATATATAAATACCCTCTTGTAGCCCAGCACTTTATTTAATCGAGAAAAATCATGTGTACTAGTTTCGAGCCTCTTTATCGAAGCCTGAAGCTATATTTTTCAAATAAAACAAATAAGATTATAAACTAAATAATAAAGTAAAATGTTTAAAGACACGTTTTTTATGGAAACCCAACTAAAAGCGAGCTATTTTGTAGTTTTTCGACGCATCTTTCAAGATTTTGAATATAGACCGGTGGTAGTGTGATAGAAGAACTGGTGACCGCAAGATTGTTGAACCTTTTTTGGGTCATTTCTGTAAAAATAGTTATCTAATAACAAACTTACTCGCGTACGCGTCATATATACACGTGCTGGATTATCATTTTCAAATATTTTCTTAAACCTCGATTTTTGATTATTTTATTTTATTTATTTCAAATAGGAACAGCAAGTTATTCTGGAGTTATTATTCGGGAGTTATTACTATATAGATTCTTTCGACTTTTATCAGAGTTTCAGTTAGATTGTAACATCGCCAATAGTGAGCTATTATTTCCTTGGTAGAGAACCAAGGTTCCTTCAAACAATGCCGAGAAATATTTCCGAGCTCATCTCTGAATATTCCCATACAAACCGCAAGTTTTGAATATTAATAAACTTCTAACTCCTCTGCCTTGGCAAGTGGACGTTGGCGAAAACGATAAAGATCCAACAAAGCACTCTGCGAGCAAATCACGGAGCTATTTTCCTCGTCTGCGAAAGGAGGAATGGCAACTGCATCGAATTCGCGAGGGAAGAACGCAATTGCTTTTCTGTGAATTTCACTCTGTAGTCGTAGTGTTTACGTCGCATTCGAAAACATTGCCTTATCGAGTCTTCTAGCCTTTCTCTTCATGCACTTAGGTTGAATGCGCAAGCCTATCCTTTTGTGATCATATAATCACAGGCGAATATGTGTCCAATATCATGTTCACCAATTTTTCGTAGGAGAATACCATGTGAAGGGTGTCCAAACGCCGAGGCCAATTGCGTCTTGTAGACCCAGTCAACTCATTAGCTTTGTAAGTTTCTTTTTCGAAACGGAGATGCCATAAGAAGTGCTCGTTTGCAGTGCTTATGATGAGAATAGGCGCATGTTGAAAGAATGTGAAGATAGAAAGTAGAAATAGAATTCTGATTTATGACGATGCATTTTTTTTAATCGGAACGTGAGGTTATGTACCGGCAAACACTTTATTGCCTCTCATTACTTTCGAGAAGGTTGCTAATAGGAGCCACACTATGTGCATAATTCGCATGGTAAATCCAATTTTTCTTTCTTTGTACACATTGCGTAAAAACACACTATGCAAACTCTAAGAGAAAACTTGCATTTTGCCCATCACTACACATTCTCTTATACAGAAACCGCCTTTAGCAGGTTAAATCTTCCAATCACGTCGTGCTGGACCGGTACGTTTGATGCAGATACGTCAGTATTGATTAACGGACAACATATCTCGCCATACCCACCCATCACTTTAAAGCTGTTTCTTGTGAAGAATTCGAAGATGATTGATTGTATCTTCCGCTGGGGTTTGCATTTCTCTTGAACTTGCGCTTTTTGGTTCCCAAACCCTCTTCTGTATCTTAACTGCTTGCCATCCATGCACTCTAAGATGAAAGAGAACCAGTTTTGTAGCATAGAGAGAGAAGGCATATTGGAAAAGCTCAGAGTTGTTCTAGTAGGTAACCACAACCTTGAATCATTCTGCTGCATTATAATAGGGTCTTATACCCGTCTGAGCTAAGGAGCTGGGTAGGTGAGAATTGGTAGAAGATTCGCTTGAGGTCCTTCTGATAACTTGGGGCTGAGACAACGCGAGCATAGAAGTAAACTTTCTTTAATGAAGGAGGAAGAAGTGATAACAATGATGCATACTTATGATTTTTCTCTTGCCTGCAGCGGATCGATACTCATGACTACGGTGGATCAGATCTATATATTCATATCTATAACAAATGATTATAACGAACATTATAGGGTTTTAATCTGATTGGATGTTCACTGAAATGCATAATTCTTTTGTTCGTGTGATATGGAATCGTGAAACAGACGACGCTTCCTTTTGTCAGAAAGCGTTTTTTTATGTAGAATTTTTTTGGCCCAATAGCGTTATTACTTAATACAATCGACATACGGGATCCCAATTTTTTCGAACAAATTTCAAATTTCTCACACCTAGGTATTCCACGCTCACGTGCCTCGTGATGCGGGGAGGTTAGACAACGTGTAACACAAGAGATACCGATACAAAATACAAAACAATTGGAAAATCTCAAAACAATCACGTGGAATTTAATTATTTGATAGAAGTTATAGTATGACAAATTTGTTGGATCAAATCTACCACATCTTCCCAAAAAAAATTTATTTTTTATTTTATCTTTCATATAATATTATATGGTCGCATATAGCTTCCGTCACATAGCGACAAGGTCTCGCGCTATAAACCTTCACAACACACCACCATACTTTGTTCACCAGCAACACCACTATTCCACAGGCATCTCAAATACAGCTACATTCAATCGTCGGGGTCTTCCTCGGCTAGCGGTGGTTAGCTCCAGACTATCTCTTCTACAAATAACTAACAACAATAATATTGGTGGTCACCGCCATCGTACACTAATAACCTCTTCGGGTTCACAATTATTGGCTGGTCAAAAATATCATCGCCCTAAGATACTACATCACAGCCACGAAAATGGTTCAGGAATAGCAAATCCACAGCTACAACAAGCTCGTTCAATAAGTTTTACGACCATACCGCGATTTATATATCATGCTATGCGGATACCTGTCGCGGGAGTTACAGCCGGAGCTGCTGGCTTGACATATGCTAACTATAAGATTGGGGGTACGAATTTTATTTTCTCATACTGCAACGCTGCCTGTCTGGATATATTTAAAAATTAATTAATGTATGTATATCATCTATCGTTCATTCTTGCTTGCACTTGTCATATTACATAAAAAAGACCTGGCAAACAAGAGTCAAAACTGGTTGAACTCGGTAACGGATAGCGTGAAGTCAATGTTTAGCACAGTAGGCTCCGGATTCGACTTTGAACTGCCAAAACTTGATATCGAATTTCAGTTGCCAGAGTTTTTGTCAAATTTTCTCAATAATGCTAGCCCAAGTAGTGATAGTGGTAATAGTATGACACATAATAGTCAGCATCAAATGGAATCAGCTCGACCACGATTTATCAAAAAGGAGGATGAAAATTCTAATGGAAGTGGTCATTCAGACGCAGCTGATGGTAGTGGTAGCAGTGCAGTTGGAGCAGCAGCAGCAGCAGGTGCTGCCGCCCTATTTGACAGAGAGGAAGACGACGAGGATTCGGAGATAAATACACCGTTGAGGCGGCCAGGCGGTGCTCAAGACGACCAATTCATGCTTCTTACGAGAAAGTTGATTGAAGTTCGTAATATCTTAATGAGTATAGATCATAATGAAACATTAAAGTTACCGAGCATTGTGGTGATTGGGAGTCAGAGTTCGGGGAAGAGTTCGGTCCTGGAAGCTATTGTTGGCCATGAGTTTCTACCAAAGTAGGTAAATTATTATGTCTAAATCTATTCATATCCATCGAGAGTTTATTATTAAAAACAATCTATATCGATGATTATTTCATTATTATTAGAGGCTCAAATATGGTTACACGGCGACCAATAGAACTGACTTTGATACACACGCCAAAAACCAAGGAGGAATACGGCGAATTTCCTCAACTTGGCCTTGGCAAAATCTACGACTTTAAGCATGTCCAACAGACACTTCGAGATTTGAATTTAGCTGTACCCGAGTCTGAATGTGTATCAAACAAACCAATTGAGTTGCGAATTTATTCTCCAAATGTTCCCGATTTGACATTGATCGATTTACCTGGATACATTCAAGTTAATAACAAACACCAACCAGAGACACTAAAAGACAAAATTGTCGAACTCTGCGAGCAGTACATTAAAGAACCCAATATAATATTGGCAGTATGTAGTGCAGACGTGGATTTGGCAAACTCTGAGGCGTTGAAAGCCGGACGAAAAGTTGATCCGTTGGGCCTGCGTACTATTGGGGTAATTACAAAAATGGATCTTGTTGAACCAGAAGTCGGTGCTAGTATCTTGCGAAATACAGATTATCCTTTGCATTTGGGTTATATTGGTGTTGTGTGCAAATTAAAAAACAACAATATTAACAATACAAGCGGTCAAAAGAACATTACGTCTGCTTTAATGCGTAATGAAGAACAATTTTTTAGAAGCAATTACGTTTATAGTCAACGTGGTATTGAAGTGGGAACTGGGACTCTTCGTAGAAAGTTGATGGAGGTTCTGGAGGAAAGTATGGCAAAGTCATTGTTTTCTATTGTGGGTGCTGTGCAGTCTGAATTAGAAGAGGCTCGATATCAATTCAAAGTGCAGTATAATGATAGGTAAAGTTTTATAACAATTGATATAATATCGTATTTTTATACGATATCACTCATGTTTGATGTGTACTTTTTTTATAGGCGTATTACAGCAGAATCATATGTTGCAGAGACAATTGATAGTATTAAACATAATTTCAAAGACTTTGCACATTCATTTGGTAAACCACAAGTGCGCCACGAAGTTCGCACAATGTTAGAACAACGTGTCATGGATCTCTGTGCCGAATTATACTGGACTGATTCAAAGATCAGTGAACTACCCAAAGTATCAGCAGATGATTTATACTGGCAATACAAGCTTGATATGTGCTCCGCTGCTTTGACAAAGAGCGGGATCGGACGAACGAGTACACAGCTTGTTGTTGACGTGTTAATGGCGAATATGGAACGATTGGCTGAAATGGATCCTTTAAGCAATCATCCAGAGACTAGTCGTCAAGTGCTAAATTTTAGTAACGAGATTTTACGAAACAAGTTCCATACAACAGCTGACCAGGTCGAGAATTGCGTAAAGCCTTATAAATATGAGGTCGAATGTTCCGAACAAGAATGGGCTGAAGGTGTTAAGAGATCGATTAGTTTGGTCGAAAAAGAAATAGAGTATTGTGAAAAAGCTTTGGCAAATATCAAAAATTCTGTTAATAAAAGAAAATTGAAGGCAGCAATAAAATATATTTTAGACACAGAGAAAGAGCAAAAGGAGCGCGTTGCAAAGGCCCATATTACCGATGAAACAACAGAAAATAACGAAGATTTAATGAAAATAACACCACCATCATCATCGATGATTTCCTCAGCCAACGAAGAGAATGAAATCACAGAACCACATCGTCTCTATTTCAATCAACGAATCCTCGAAAAAGCTCGCGAATCCATATTCTTACGTGACCGTTCGATCATATTAAAGTATCGTTTAGCTGCACTCAAGTCTCGCCAATGTAAATCCCCCGAAAATAAACAGTATTGTCCGGAAGCCTTTCTCAATATGGTCGCTGAAAAACTTACGTACACCGCAGTGATGTTTATTCAAGTGGAATTGTTGAACGAATTTTTCTTTCAGTTCCCACGGGAGGTTGATAATCGACTGGTGTATGATCTGGATAGGAAGCAAATTTTAGCATTTGCTAAGGAAAATCCGCATATAAGGAAGCATTTAGAATTGCAGGAAAGGAAACGAAAGTTAGAAGAAGTGAGTATATTATTAAGGATGCTAACGACTCGACTCAACTGAATTCAACTCGACTTTTTACCGACTATGAGTCATAGTCGACTAAAAGTCGATCACATGAATTTCAGATAAATCAAAGTTTATATCAAAAATAATAATTACGCATAACATACATGAAAATTAAATATCTAACCATACGATCGACTCAAGTCGACCGATTCAAGACTACATCTTTATTGTTATGTTGAAATGTTCGTGATGGAACATAATTTTCTTTTTCTCTATTATCTACATATCAACTTGAGTTTCCCTATATATTATAGTCGTAATATCGTCTTATTTTAATACAAGTTACTAAAACTATTTTGGATATTTGTTTTTTAGGTTATGGAAAAACTTAACTACTTGGTGAGACGACAACGAGATATCGAACAGAAGACGACATCACAATCATCTAGTAGAAAGGGATTGGGACATTAAATTAATACTATTGTGGTTATGGTATATTGAATTTTTTTTCAAAGTGTATTATATTTATTTATCTTTAAAGGCATTAAAACTTAAACCATTTACAATTAGATAGAACATAAATATAAATAATTTATTTATAATTATCAATATATGTATAACTTGAAATTATATTAATTCGAAATTAATATTCGTTTTCACACGACACCAATCTTGGAAAAATCATGGTTATTATCAATTCTTTTCAAGAACTAGATTATGATTTGGTAAGTCATCAATTATACCTCTTGGGAAAATTATAAAAGAATGCGATTATAATAAGTATCTTTTTCTAGTCTGACCAGATGATTATAGAGAAGTGTGATCATAAAGGAATTCTCTGTAATCGCTTTTTTTAAAATCATATTATTAATAAAACTTGATATCCAGATTCTTACGGATGATCAACCGAAAATGCAATTTGCTAAAGTTATGTTTTTGATTGCCGACTTAAGCCAAGCATAGTTTCTGCCAACATTATATTGTTTAATAACAATTTTGGCTGGCAATGTTTAAGTTAATAAAGTCATCAACTTGGATCTAATGTTGGGAGGGGGGAGGTCTGCTTGTTTTCGGGCCCTTTTCAAATGCTTGATTTCTCATCTATCTTTACATTCATAATCATAACTGTCATTCTTTTGCTCAGGCATGTTTGAAGATATTATAATTTCTTTTTTTGTTGTAGAATGATTTTTGGAAGGTTTCCTTATCGAAGCTTTCCATAGTAATGGCCATTGTCAAGTGTTTTATTATCGGATTCTATGTGAGTCTCTCGTGTTTAATCCATGTGATATTAATATAATTCCAGTTACTTCATTTGTCGAGCCAATTCAGATTAAAAAAAAATAAGGACGACTATGGTGACCGCAACGATATCGACAAAAATATTTTAAAACTTCCAATTACAAGTCTCTTGATAATTTTATCAGACGAAACTGTCAAACAAACACACTTATCCGGGAAAAAAACATAGATGCCGGCCACCTAACGCATTTATTCTATATCGTCGGGCTAAACAGCCAGAACTTACGGCAGAAATGGAGCATATATCAAATGCATTAATCTCAAAAATTTTAACCGATAAATTTAATACATATTAAGCGTGATTTTTACTAAAGTGCATTAAATAAACCTGTTCACAATAATGAAGTATACATTCAGTGCAATTTTTACGAAATATGGGCGAAATTTTACGTTTAAGTCAACGAAAAATAAAAATTTTTTTAAATAGCTAAACCTGTTAATAATTTCCGTAAAAATCTGTAATCTAATTGGCCCGATCAAAATTTTTGGTGGTGTTGGGGGTTATTAGCTCTGGCTTGAGCACGCGAAATGTCTATACGAAGAGTGTCTCTTAACGCGTCTAGATTGGTAAAGAAAACTTAGCTCTTATAACAAAACTTACTTTCTTTATATATTTATCAATAAATTCCACTTTCTTCTATCGTCAAAAAAAAAATTAGAGCAATATCAAGTTTCTAAAGCATAGCAATAATAGCACTTTAAATAAATTTAATAAATGTATGTTATGTGAATTAATTAAAAAATCATTTATATCCTTCTATATATTGGAAGATAGAAACAATTGCTGTCACAAGGCATAGTGAAATACCGCAATCAATAATACCAACGTTTCATAATAAATTAACAAATTTGACCTTATCCTCGTCATCATCACCTTTGAAAGCCTCGTCATTCATCTCGCGACGTCATTACATAACAACAGATCAAAACCAACCACCAAAAGAAACCTCGAAAACTGATGAAGCAACTATACGCGCAAGGAACGCGATCGGGGTAAATCTTGATCAATCATCTTTTTTAATTATAATCGTTGAATTAACCACAAATGCGATTAATCAATTATATAGCCGACAACATGGCGAAGTTTAGGGCTGTTTATACTTACGGGTATCGGACTATTATTTTATTTCAAGAGTGAAAAAGAGAAGATGATTAAAAAAAGTATGTTGGAATTAAACCTTATCGAATATTTGCTTATCTCTGCAATTTTCCTATTATTATTAATCAACCAACCAATCGCCACAGAAAGAGAAGAATCACAAAAATCATTCGGAAAACCAAAAATCGGTGGGCCGTTCGAATTATTAGATCAAGATGGCAACGTGACTGACGAGAGTATTCTAAAGAGTCACTTTTCACTGATTTATTTCGGGTTCACTAATTGTCCGGACATATGTCCCGAGGAGTTGGATAAGATGACACTTGTGATCGATAATTTAAGCAAGTTGATCATTTAAAAATTTTTTTGTTTGCCATTGAATTGTGAATAAAGTAATAATCGAGATATTTTTATAGAGAAAGATCCGGAGATAGGAAACGTTATTACACCAATATTCATTTCTGTTGACCCACAACGTGATAGTGTTGAATCTGTTCGCGAGTATCTTAAAGGTTTATATTATAAATATACTCGCTCATTCTTCCTCTCGAAATTCAAGAATTCATTTTTAACCAATTAATCAACCAATCAAATAAAATAAAACAAAAAAAAAGATTTCCACCCAGATTTCATCGGACTAACAGGCACCTATGACCAGGTAGCAAAAGTTGCGAAAGCATACCGCGTCTACTTTAGTCGTCCGCCACAAGTCAAAGAAGGCGAAGACTATTTAGTCGATCACTCGATATTCTTTTACTTGATGGATCCGAACGGCGAGTTTGTGGCTGTTTATGGGAAACAAGCGACCGCCGATGAAATTACCGAGGGGATTAAAGGACATATTAGGGAATTTTTGAAGAGTAATGGTGGTTTATTATTGGTTCATAGAAAAAATACAGCAATAAATGAGTAAAAGTTGTAAAATAAACTATTTTGAAATTGATTAATACGTAAATACGAAATTTTAACACGTGTGAATGTTAATTCGATATCTAAGTTTCGCGTAATTTTTCTCCTTCACCTATGGTTGAAAACAAAGTTTTAATTCTCGATAATGGTGCTAGCGCAATCAAAGCTGGCTACGCTGGTTTACCTGAAACTTTAAGGTAAATATCCTTTTGCCTACTATTGTCTGTTCATATTTCATTTCTAATCTAACGCATCCCTTACACTTATAACTCGAGCAGGCTCTTCCCAAACTGCAAGCTAACCCGCTCGAAAGGCGACCGAAAAAATTTCATTGCAGACCAACTGTCTTTCTGTGAAGATTTTTCCGGCGTTCAGTATAGGCTCCCATTTGAAAAAGTTTGCTGCTCTTTTCAATATTATCTTTATAAATAATATCAGTTTACACTTGAAAAAAAATATCTTTTTGTCTTTAGTAAGAACTTTTTTTAGTTTTAATTTTTGGAAAATAATTTTACATAAACATATAAAATATTTAAAAAAAAATTGAATTATTGGTTGTAATGACGATGATGTGACTGCAATTTTGGTTATTTCAGGGATTTTTGACAAATTGGGAAGTTGAAAAAGCTATCTGGGATCGAATATTTTCGGCAGAAGTGTTAAAGGTAGAATCAGGCAGCAGCGGCTTCGTAACATGAAATTTAAAAATGAGATTTGCCACTTTAGAAAAAAGTTTGATATTATTTGTCAATTATTATTAGTGTGATCCGTCTTCCACAAGCTTACTTGTCACAGAGCCATGCTTCAATTTACCAAATATTCAAAAGACATACGATGAAATGATTTTTGAGGTCTATGAATTCAAATCTGCGTGTCGTGTAATTGGTGAGCGAGAAACTTCTAATAGAAATCTTGTGATGTTCATCATAAATTCAAAAAATGTATGTATAAAATCGAATAGCGCCATGGCTCTGTATCCAAAACGACACTGGTAGCTTATGCGACGGCACTCTTCACGAAGAACAGCCGGATTGCGTTCTAGTCGTCGATTCTGGGTATTCGTTCACGCACATAGTACCATTTGTGATGGGGAGGCCTATTTTCCCTGCTATTCGAAGGTATTGTATTTAAGATTCATACTATTGCAGTGAGAAATTCATAACGAATATCTCATTAATATATGAATTATCCGTTTATTGTTCTGCTATTAATGAAGAATAAATATCGGCGGCAAACTTTTGACAAATCATCTCAAAGAATTAGTGTCTTTTAGGTACTCAAATCATTTTTACTATTACTTTTTTGCCATTTAAAGATTTTTGATTGATGTTTTATTATTAGATATTGGGATATGATGGATCAAACATACGTGATGAACGAAGTTAAAGAAACCTGTTGTTATGTCTCGCAAGATTTTCTTGGAGATCTTGAAATTTGTAGGTAAAGTGCACTTTTTCTTTTGTTAAGAATATCATAACTTCTGATAAGAACATTAATGTTTTACATAATCGGATATGTTTAGGAAGAATATGAGAGATAATCCAATACTTCGAGAATATGTGCTACCTGATTTTTCAAGAAACAAGAAAGGGTTCATCCGAGTAATAATATGTATTCAGATTTTTCGCTATATTTCATATAAATTTATGATGCTTATTCCAAAGAAAAAATTCAATAGCCCAAAAAATTACGCGAAAGTAATGCCGCGAATTCCGCCATAGCGCCATCCTCTTCATTATCAACAACAAACATAATCCTACCAGAAGAACAAGCATTATTCATGAACAATGAACGATTTTCTGTTCCAGAGCTACTGTTCAACCCTTCTGATATCGGTACCAAAGCTAATTAATATTGTTGCTGTTTTTATTTGTATGTGAAAAAATTTTTGACGCATTTTCGTTTTTATTTCAAAATAGGTATGAACCAGGCAGGCATCCCAGAAGTTATCGTTGAAGCTATAAATGCTACTCATCCAGGTAAAATACGAATTGGTGATTTGCAGAATAAATATTTCTCTCATACATGGTTACCACTAACTACCGAATATCCTCCAGATCTTCACGGGTTATTTTATTCTAATATTGTGTTGATGGGTGGAAACAGCATGTTTGCCGGATATAAAGAAAGAGTGTGAGTGATTGATTGTTATCACTTTGTGTATTTATTTATTCGCTAACTAAAATTTTTAATTATGATAATGACAACATAAAAAAGTGAGAAAGATCTTCGGGTGTTAGCTCCTTCAATGTACGATGTACGCGTTGGGATGCCCGCAGAGTAAGTAAAGAGAATTTCATTTATATTCTTGGGGCAAAGATTTTGGTTATGCGCAAGATATATTTATTTCCATACTGATCAATTATGTGATACTTATTGAATACAGTCCAATTTCTTACGCATGGCACGGCGGCTCAAAATTCGCCCGTACACCAGAGTACCGTGAAAAATTGGTAACGCGACGCGAATACTTAGAGTATGGGAGTAACATTTGTTTACGACGATTTGGGATGGGAGAGGAGATTGCAGAAATCGATGATTAATTTTCTAAAATGCCATAAAAATTTTGTCTTAATAGTTTTTAAATTCATTTTTATTTTTTCTCTGGTTACATTATTTTATATCTATTTAATTGGTTCGAAAATTAAGGTGGAAGCTTCAGCCAAAATTGGCGTTAGCAAAGTTGTAGGAGAAATAATGTGATAATACAATTATGTGATTAAAAATCAAAGTTGTCTTTCATTATATCACCATAAAGGCGAGTCCATTTTCAGAAATAAAACTAGCTAAATTACATCAAATAATTTGAATCCCACTTTTTGTGAACTTTAACAATGGTAATTTCTCCAGATTACTATGCTTATTGAAGAATTTAATTATTTTATCCCTGATCTTATTTGAAATATTAAAGCTAATTACAAACAAAAACAAACTATTCTTATAATTATTAATCAAGATTATTACTTTTATCAATACTTTGAAAATTAAATATACTTCTACCAAATGCTAAATAGCATAATAAAAAATTATTATCTTTATTATCAAGACTAGAAAAAAAACTAAGTAATCTTCAATATTAAAATTATAATTGCAATATAATTGTGCTCACTCTCACTAAAATAAGTATTAATAGTGCAAGCTTATAAAAGTCTTTTTATATTAAAATCATTTTAATTTCTTTTTCTTGAGTTTATCTTATTTTTTTTCATTATGACTCTAAAAAAAATTGATTTAAATTTAATTAAAGTATTAACTTTAACTCTTTTCTTTTATTTTTTATTATTACAAACATGAATTTGTTGTAATACTTTTTTAACTAATTTTTCTTGTGACAAAATATATAATAAGTTTAATATAAAATATTCATCTTTATATTAATATTAAAATAATCTTTTTTCTTTTTTAATTTAAAAATAATTTTCAAGATGAAAAATATTTTTTATTAAATAATATATTTATTTTAACTTATAATAAAAAAGTTATAAATTATGTGATTTTAGGAAATAATAATTTTTTTGCTATTTATTATATTAAAATATATATTTTAAAAATATAATAAAAATTATTACAATTAAATAAATATTAAGTAAATTTTGATAATTATCTATAATTAGTTGAATAATATTATAAAAATAATATGTACAATAGTCATTAAAAGTAATATAACACTTAAATTTTTTACTAATTATAATTAGTAAAAAATTTAAGTGCTACATTACTTTTGATAGTTATTATAAATAAAATAATATATAAAAAATAAAGAAATAAAAGAATAAAATTCAATTAAAAATATATTATATTTCAAGCTTCTTGAATTTTATATTATTCAAAACTATTCTAAATATATATTTTTTATTATTCTTTCTTAGAAAATATATATAAAATAGTATAATAAAAAGAAATTTTGCTTTATTTTACATATTTATAAGTTGAAAATCAATTATATTACTAATATTATAATAAAATAATAATATCTAATCATAATAAAAAAAGAATTCAATATTCTTCTATAAATATTTAAATTAAAAAAAATAAAAACATAAAAATATTAAATATAATTTTTATATATATTTAAATATTTATAATATTTTATATAATAAAGAGTTATTAATTTACTTAAATTATTTTATAAACTATTTTTTTACAAAATAAATTAAACTACTTATTTATATTATATATAATATATAATAAAAATAAGATTTTAATCTTGAATTAAATCTAAATTAATTTATTAAATTAATAAAAAGTTAAGGATCATATTTAAAAAGATTTATTTAAGAAATTATTAATACTATCACTTTATTCTCTTAATTAATAGAAAGAAAATAAATAAAAAAATTTTTATAATTATATTTTATTATTTATTTATAGAACTTACAAATATATTTATTAATAATTCTTAATATTAATTTATATTTAATATTTTTAATATCTTAATAGATATAATTAATATAATATATAAAATAAATATATTTATAAATACTTAATTAGTATTAAATTATAAAAAATATTATTTTAAATTATTTTTATAAAATTAATTAATATTTTAAAATTAATATAAATATTATAAACTTTTAATTTTATTTTAAAAAATTATTAATTTAATTAATAAAAACTTTCTTTTTATATATATATATATATTGATAATTATTATATAATTCATATATGATATAGATCTGATATCATATTAATTTCTTTAGTAAAATACTTTATAATATATATTATAAAATAAACTTCTAAATATCTAATTTAATTTTATCTTATAAAATATCTATTTATAATTATAAAAATATAAATATAAAATTTTTATATTATTACTTATATTTTTTTATACTAATATTTTTGATATTAATTATAATATTTAAAAAACTTATTAAATCATACAAAAAAATATTTAGCTAAATTAATTTAATTACAGTGGTGACCAAAAGTAATGACTCAGGGACTAAATTTACTAATAAAACATAGTGAAAATTAAAATTTTCTCTCTATATTAAAATTTATAATTTTAATAAGAAATAA